GGAGGCTTGAAGAGTGCTCCTGGGGGTGGGGAGCCAAAAATGAGCAAAAAGTAGCCCATTTTTCATCAAAACAGACTCATTTTTTCTTTAAAATAGGGAAGGATAGCCTTTAGGAATCTTATAGAGCTCTCCTGGGGATTGGGGGGGGGGAATTGAGCAAAAAACAGCCTTTTTTGCTCATTTCTGCCCTCCCCATGCCCAGGAGCTCTCTGAAAGCCTCCTGAAAGCTATTCACGATCATTTTGGTGAAGGGGGAAGGTTTTGGGCACTGTTCCCTCTAAGGTGCATGGCTGCGCGGCTGCGCACGTGGCAAGAAAACACCACGTAGCAGTTTCTAACTGCCGCGCAGTGATTTCTGTCACAGGCTTCAGAAGTTGAGGGGCCGCAGAAAATCTAGGATTAACACGGGCGTGGGAACGGCGGCAGAAGATTACGCGGCACAGCCAATCTCCTAGGTCCTCCTAGGTGCCAGCTGTGCTGCTCATTACCGTCAGTCGCCCCGTGTTCAGCAAAGAAAACACGGGGAAGTCCTTTGCAGGCGGCTAGAACTGGCCACCCACAAAGGATCTCCTCAGACTTGTTTTGATGAGCACGGAGCGACTGACGGTAGTTTGCACCGGCCACGGCCTCTCAAACTAGTGTCAATCTCCCCGTGTTCAGCAAAGCAAGCCCGAGGAAGTCCTTTGTGGGTGGCCAATCCTAGCCATTTGTTCCCGGCACTGCGGCTGAAGTAAACCCCCCAACCCCCCGCCGCCACCAAAATATCTGCTGCCGCCTCCTCTTCCTCCTTCTCCAACAGCACTGCCGGATTTGCCACCCGACACTGCAGCTGAAGTGAGCCCAGCCAAAGCTCTCGCCAGCACCCCCGCCTGTGGCAGTGATGCCTCCCACTCCCTGCGGAGCACCTGAGCTGGACCCCAAGTTATCCCTCCCCCTCCTCCTCCGCCATGCTTTTGAGGCCACAGGAGCCAGTAGGAAAGCGGCAGAGGGGGTAGTAGCAGGGAAAAAAGGCCTCATGGCTTCTCAAAAGCATGGTGGAGGAGGAGGTGGCGGCAAGGGTAACACAGAGCCCAGCTCAGGTGCTCCGCGGGGAGGGAGAGGTACCGCCACCACTGCCATGGGCGGGGGCATCAGCGGGAGCTTTGGTGGCTTCACCTCAGCTGCAGCGCCAGGCAGCAAATGTGGTGGTGCTGTTGGAGGAGGAGGCGGAGGTGGCAGCAGTTATTCTGGTGGTGGTGGGGGCTTGTCGGCATCTTCAGTGGCAGCCATGCCCCCAGTGAAAAAACCAAAGATGGAGCAGATCCATGCAGATGACGTTGCTGCAACATGACTGCAGGAGGAATTCTGGGAGTTGAAGTCCACAAGTCTTAAAGCTGTCGGATTTGAAGACCCCTAGAGTTTTTTTTTTTCCTAAAGGGTTATGGGTGCAAGGATCTTGTAACTTGACAGCTTTCAGACTTGTGTACTTCAATGCCAGAGTTCTTGAGCCAACATGACTGGAGGAGGAATTCTGGGAGTTGAAGTCCACAAGTCTTAAAGCTGTCAGGTTTGATGACCCCTGGGTTTTTTTTTCCTAAAGGGTTAAGGGGGCAAGGATCTTGTAAC